TAATTTTAAATAAAATTAATACATTTTGGTTACCATTCTAAGTCTTACCACCTAAGAAAATAGCAAGTTGTTGTCCAATTTTAAGTCCATTAGATTCATTCTAAATGTTTTCAACCAAATCTTATATTACTAGCTAAAAATAAAAAAAATATTATTCATGTAAATCAAGTATTAGGCATTTGATTTTTATACTATTACTCACAAATGTTATATTGTATTAAAACTACTATTATTAATCGAGGGGATTGCATTGATCAGATTTTCTTTTTTATTTAATTGTTTAAATTCATGAATAGCAATCATGATGTCTCTTTTTGATGAGTTAGGAAATATAGACATTTTAAATTCCAAAAAAGAAATTTTACATAATATATATATATATATATATGTAAAGATAAGTTTTTGCAAAAATGTTTTAAGAGATATATAGACCAAATTAATAAATGTGGAAGATTTTTGAGGAGATAGGAATGATTATTGAAATAGAAAAGTATAATGAGATGATAATAAAGAATAAAATTCAGATATATAAAATGCCAAACATTTTATGAATTGAGAAATATAATAAAACAAATATATGAGAAGGAAGGTTGACAACAGCAAACCAAACTCTAAGAGTACTTTAAAGGTATTTTAAGAGTACTGTAAACGTATTGTTGAAGTACTGTAAGAGTATTGTTAGAGTTCTGGAAGAGTACTCAAAAGGTATTGAAACCCAACCCAACCCAACCCCACCAAAGAGTATTCTAAAAGTACTCTAAGAGTACTCTTCCAGTACCTTTAGAGTCCTTTACAGTACCCTTTCAGTACTTTTAGAGTACCCTTACAGTACTTTAAGAGATTTTAAAACTCAACCCAACCCAACTCTAAAAGTACTCTAAAGATACTCTAAGAGTACTGTAAACGTATTGTTGAAGTACTGTAAGAGTAGTGTTACAGTTCTGGAAGAGAATTCAAAAGGTATTAAAACCCAAACCAAAGAGTACTGAAAAGGTATTGAAACCCAACCCAACCCAACTCTAAGAGTACTCTTCCAGTACTTTTAGTGTACTCTTCCAGTACTTTTAGTGTACTCTTCCAGTTCCTTTAGAGTCCTTTACAGTCCCATTGGAGTCATTTACAGTACCCTTCCAGTACTTTTAGAGGTTTTAAAATCCAACCCAACCCAACTCTAAGAGTACTCTAAAGATACCAGTGTTGAGAAGGAACTGGTTCCAAAAGGAACGGATTCCTGGAACGAGTTCTTTTTGAAGGAACGATGCTAGGAACTGCTTCCTTTTAAAATAAAGGAACGAGGAAAATGAACAAATTCCATTTTTTAAGGAACGTGAACGGAAATTACAGTTCCTAAAAATTTTTATAAACATGTTTTAGTGTAGTTTTCTTCGTATCTAGACATTAAAATATTAAGGTATTTTTAGTTGACTTTTGACAATGGAAGTCCTCTATATACCCAGCCGAGATCGTAGGCTGTTTAAATGAATCAATTGACTATAGATAGAGTTATTATCACATGTAGGTATACAGTAAATATTTAATATATGTGTACATATATTAAATAATGCACCGAATATTATCGTCGTTTCTTGTTAACTAATATATGTTAAAGGTTTTGGGTTTTCTGATTTATTATTTCTAACTTATAAATAAACAATAGACATTGGTCGCGTTGACACAAATCGTTAGCATTTACTACCTGATTATAAATATAATTTTCGAATACTTTTAGATAAGGAATACTACAAATTTGTTTTGTATTCGACTGCTGATGAAAATCATTGATGACCGTTATCATGATCTCATTGCCACAATTTATTAAATAACTTTGTTACATAAAAGGAACGAAGAGTGGAACGAGTTCTTATTTTGGAGGAACTGGATCTGGAACAAGTTCCTTCTTAATATAAAGAACTAGGATCTGGAACGAGTTCATATTTTAGAAAATGAACGGGGAACGGAACGAGTTCCATTTAAAAAGGAACTTTCCCAACACTGAAAGATACTCTAAGAGTACTGTAAACGTATTGTTGAAGTTGTCGCGGTCGCATCGCGACTCCAGCTTTACCACTGGATGGCGATCGCGGCGCTTTCCCTTTACGTCCGGCAGGTCACGCCATATGGAGTGGCTGACGGGCGGCTTAAACCGGTCCAGGCCGCCGGCCACTAACAAGAAATATCAGATATTAACGTTTTGGCGATTGTCTACTTCCTTTGAGAACTAATTTTGTCTTTTTATGTAATCTTACGGATATAGAAATTGTAAAATATATTTTCACTGATATTTAATCACGGTGTTATTCATTATTCAATATTAAACTATCACCTGATCACAACAAAGTACTGTAAGAGTAATGTTACAGTTCTGGAAGAGAATTCAAAAGGTATTGAAACCCAACCAAACCCAACTCTAAAAGTACTCTTAAGAAGTCCGAAATTTTTTTTTTGCATAATGAAGTACATTACATTAGCTTTAATTTAAGATATATATAAAAGTGTCAGATTTTCTGGACACTTTCAAAAGTTGAAAAAGTTGTCATTTTGAATCTCCTTCCTGTGACCAGGTAAAGGGTCAGATGTATATAAAAAATATACCAAATGAAAAGTAATATCAAGCATCTAAAAAAAAAAGTTATGTTGATTTGTTGATTTTTGAAAAAGTTGTGGCATTTTTAAGTAAAAAAAATTGAAAAAATTTCGACAATTAACGATTTTTAAATTTGTAATTTTTTTGGAGGTTTTCCACATTTACGAGAAACGAGGGAATATTTTTCAATTTTTGAGGGTAATGTCTTCGACTAGATATGATTTGTGATCTTTTGGGGTATCATTGAAAGAAATCGGTTCGGCGAGAGTTGAGAAAAAGTGATAACAGACAAAAAAAAAAACACATCTTAGCAAAACCAATACCTTCTCAGCTTCTCATCGAAGTAGAGATGGAAAGTTTAGTTCATATCTGTGAATAGATACTGCTATTTTTATTATTATTCGTTCTTTGGTCACACTTCTTCTGCCACCTAAGTACAAAAATTAGAATATCTTCCAAAGCACTGGTCTAAAAGTTCTTGTTTTAAATTACAAATACCATTTCCATTAACATAACCATGGCTTCATTTTATGAGGTTAAATATTTTTGTGTATGGTATAATTATTGTTCAAAAATTAACATTTATTATTTGTTTTTTGTATTTATTAGTTATGTGGGTCTAGAGTTCTTGCAAATGTAAAACTAACAAAACTGGATGATCATGCTATTATTATATTACAAAACTCATTTAACTCTTATTCCAAAATAGACAAGACATTATAACGTAACTGTCAATAAAACTGACACTATTCATACCCAGCTAATAAGTCAATCTAAACTAGAATTTGCCGCTAATAGGTAATGTATGAAAAGTCTAATTGATATGACAATTTTTTGAGTATCCAAAGACTGACTTGACACAATGAAAACAGATCATCATTAAATCAAGGTAGGGAACTAATTTAAATGATCTAATCAAGTAATGAAAACTATGAAGATAAAATTATTAATGTCTTATTAAATAATTTTTCTTAGGGAATTTTAACAAAACCTGTGTTTTATTTTCCAAGCATATTCCCATATTTTCTGAAATATTTAACAAAGAAACAAATTACACTAGTCACCATATTCAAAATGAAATAATTGAAATATGTGCAAATATAACACTAATATTACTATTAAATTTTTGCTTTAGTTTTAGATTTTATAAAGAAGAACAAATGTTTAATATTATTTTGAAACTTACAAATTAAATACTAAAGCCCAAATAATTTCACAATCCTATGATTGTTGGAATTTCTGTGGAATTATCATGTCTGGAAATTCAATAAAGTCAATCTAGAATAAGAATTGGTATGCTTTATAGAATAAATCTTTTGGTTGCAGATAGGTGCAAAATGTTTAAAGTAAAAACCAATATTAATAAAATATGTTTGTTTTATTAAAATAATACAATTTTATTTTGTAATAATTAAATTTTTTTAAAAAACCTTAAGTTTTTTTAACTTGATTAAATGTATTTACGTTCATTTTTCCCATCCCCAAAGAATTGTCAATTAGTTGAATTGCATAAAAACTTGGATACAAAAACAAAAACTATGGGCGCATTAGTAATAATAGATAACATTGTAGATTTAAAAACTGTGAAGCCATTAAACAATGTTTCTAGAGTATTCTTATTGTACTTAAAAGAGAAATAGAAAATGAAACTGATAAAGATGTCAATAAAGCAAAAGGTATAATTTATAAATCACTCTTGTTTTTTATCCAATTGATGTACATTTCATCGATAGTTGTTTTGTTAGAAATACTCTACAATTACAAAAGGAGATATTTATTATAGTTTAGTTCGTCATGCACAACATCTTGTGTATGATCTTGGCTGTGCTTAATGCAGAGACTGACTGACAATCAAAGTTCCACTGTTTCTAGATAATAAAATGTAAAACTAAAATAATAACTATTCCCTATTGATACATTTATTACTTGTTTTATTATTTATTATTCACAATATTATTTAAATTGATTTTTGTTAACTGGGATGATACTCAAATAATATATTTTAATAAAAAGTAAAAATACCTTTATATCTTTGAAATTTTATACTAGGAAAGATTAGTGTAATAAAAGTTGGCTGTGAGTGAAATGAGTTACTGGGAATCGTTTCTGTGGTATCAAAAACATATTTTCACACAAAATTCAATAGTTAATATTTTGTATTTTTATAAATATTTTCTTTACTTTTAAAAATAAATATTGTAAATTTTATTTTATTAATTTTTATTCTGACACATAATATTTGAAATGTAATGTTTCACATTAACACTAAGCACTCTTTCACAAGTTCAGTCAAAGATGGTTCTTGGCTAAACCAAAGATAAATGGGATGGGTATTATCTTTGGTTTGCAACAAAGATCAAACACCACCAATGAGAAAAGCACAAAAATATATTTGTTGGCATTCTGGGGATGAAACTCAGGATCCTGTGCGCTTAAACATACGTTTCTACCCATTATGCTAGACTGACCCATTTAAAGAGTACAGGTTATTGAATATTCAATATTATAATTGTTTTTAATCTTTGTAATTTTAAAAAACAAAATAGTGAAATTGATTTATAATTAATTATATTTATGTCTTTTATTCTAAAGCTGATAAATAGTTATTCTTTATTTTTATATAATTTTTGTACAGAGAATCTGTATATTTAGTGTATAGAATTTTTTTTACCATACATGGTTAGTAAGAAAGAAAGCTAAAAATGTAATTCGTTTATCGTTTTTATTTTATAACTCTGTAAACAACATCGATAATGAAATACATAGATCGGTAAACATTGAATAACACTAATTATATAAATGCTGTTTCTGCATTATATAAATAACTTTTAAGTAATTAATACTGGCTAATTGTTGATCTTAATAGTTGTTATAATAGTAAAGTATTTTTGATAATTCAAAGTTAAAATTACCATGGAAACAAATACACATAGACATTTTCTTAGTAAATTTGAGTTTTTTTTTACTTTGTGATTAACTAAAATTTCTATTTTCGTGTTTATTATAATAATAAAGAATAATTAAATTTATTTTTATTATTTATCTTTTAAACATTAACTGTATTTACAAGTTATCAATGTGTTATGGGAAATTATTTTATGCTATAAACAGTGATGCAATTTCTTTTAGAAATCGAATACAATTTTCAATAATAACACAATGCAGTAAGATGAATATTACTTGTTGTTGAGCTTTCAGACTAATGCCAGTCATAAAATATATTTATTAAAATATTAATTTGACACGTATGAAATTTCAATAATAACCAACAACAGAAATTTATCAAGGTAATTTTTACATTTTAATAATTAAACAATTTCCAGACAAATCTATAACATTCTATTTATGTAAATGTACATTAGTTAAATTTTTTGAAACATTAATTAGATATTTACTTTGAGTTTAAATAATTAAAACTGTTTATTTATCATGTATTGTTTCATTTTATTTAATTTGTTTAACTCACTAATTTTTTTTTCTATAATTTATTTTGCACATTTGTACGAGTAGTAACGTTTACCAAATAATAATACTTTTCAAGGAGGGTTAAAAATAATGTTACAAATGAATTATTCAATGGTAACGATTAAATTGTATTAAAAGTTTTTATTTTTTAATTAAAAACATTTGGAAAATAATGTATAAATTCAATGAGGTACAATTACATTTTTTTATTTTAGTAATATTTGAATAAAAAAGTTTGGACATCGCTAAATTAGTAGTTTTAGTGATTAATTTTGGTGACATTATTCAAAATCTGATACGTACCCACAATTATATTATATTATAGTCAAGTTTTAGCTTTTATTAGATACATATATTTCTTTAATAAACCTTAGCTGAAATTTTTTTCTATATACTTATAATAATAATAAATTTATCATTTTGATTTTATTGTAATAAACCTTTTAATATATTCTTAACTTGATTGAATGTAATTCAGAAAAATTGTAAGAATAGTATATCAAAATTAAGTCTAGAATGAGGTCTAATTATTAAATTTTAATAATTTTATATTTGAACTCCAGAATTATTAGCTATATAATAATTTTTAAGTTCATCTATAATGCCTTGTATGTATATCAATATTTTTTTTTTAATAAGAATACATATTTTGCATTAAATGAATTGTTTGCAGTTTTATTTTAATAGTATAACATTTTAATTTTTAACAGAACTTTATTCGTTTATTTAATATAAACCGTTAAATTTTTAAATTCTTGATTTAATATACATGTATAATATATTTTATTTTAATTATATTATTCTGTATTGATAAAAATGTTTTCCTAGGGCATAGAAAAAAGCGATATGCCTTTGATGACACTTGTCTTACAATATTGCCTTTGCTATCTAATATCATTAATTTTTATAATATAATTACAATTAACATGAAAATAAATGACATTAAATACACATAGACATTTTCTGCCTAAATTCGAGTTATTGTAAACGGATTAATTAATTAAATTAGCTTGAATTCAACGTTTTATGTTAAATTTTAAAAAGTGATGCAATTTGTATTAAAAAATATTACTATAGTGATTTTTATCACTGTTAAATTTAAATGTAAACTGGTTTTCCATTTTGCGGAAACTTTTCTATAGGCAAGTGTAGAATAAAATTTTAGTCAGTGTTATTATAATTATCTTACCTAAAAATTATTATTATTTAAGAAAACATTTATGTCCTACGTTTTTTATGAGGTCAATATCTCATAGCTTCTAGTTGCGCCCATACAACTGTATGTATTAGATTTTTGGAATAATTTCACTTTAGACTTTCTATCCCCCACAAAAAATATTGAATACTCGAATTATTTTATACGAGATTTAATATTTTAAATAAAAAAAAATGATGGACATTTATTAATTGAAAATAATATTTGACTATATGAAATTTAAACAAAAAAGTTGGTTCTTGTATTAATTTTATTATCATAACATATATATATATATATTATATTATATATAGAGTGTTCAGTAAGTAAGGAAACGGGTTTCTATTGTTCTTATTGTTTGAACTGGCATGTTTCCTTAATTACTAATTACTGTATATATATATATATATATATATATGAATATAATTTTGAGAACTGCTTATAAATGCATATTGATATATGAAAGTTTGTTTTCATTTATGTTACACTTTCAAAACAAATGATGACTTTAAACTTATAATATAAAATTAGCGGGCTGTACATAGTTTGATATATCGAGACAGTTATGTTACTAGTACGCGCTATAAATTTGCAAATGTAAAAAAAAACTGGCTTTACTATGCTAACATTTTCAGAAAGATATGTCGCATGTACGAGTTTTAACATTTGCTACGAAAAAGTCATTTGTTCAATGTATCTTAATTAAATTGATACATTCAAAGATATTTAATTATTAATTATTATACATAATAGAGCTATTGAATTGTGATAACTTTAGAGGTATCTTTAATTTAAGAACAGAATTTTTTTTTTTTTTACATAGTCAAATTTATTTTATATTAATGACTGCGAATTTTTTTTTTATTAATCAAAACACTAAATTTCTTGTACATTTTAATTAATGTATTCGATATTTTTTTGTGGGTAAAAATGTAAATGAGTTATGATTAGTCAAATGTGAAGTGAAGTATAATCCAAAAATCTAGTACATTTAGATATAAAGACATAACTGGAGGTTAAATAAAGTACCTTACAAAAAAAGTGGGATATATATGTGATCTTATATAATAATATATTTTGGTGTTAAAAAATAATAGTAACACTCCCTAAAGTTTTATTCTAGTTGTGACTATGGATAGATGTCGGGAAAATAGGAAACCTGTTTAGATTTAATTTTAACAGTGATTAAAATAACTATTTTTTATTTTATTTTAAATATAAACGGACGTAAGTCCTTAACAAATATATTAAGCGTATACACGTATCAATAATACAATGAGGTCATAGAAATGACTAATTACAAACAAATTACATTATACATTTGTAAGTAATAATATATATAAGAACAAAAAAAAAGTTAAATAGTAACATAGAAAGACTTAAGATGAGACATGCTAAACAAAATCAAAGGTAATAGAATTACCTGCAGCCATAAGGATATTAGAAGGACAGTTTTTCATATAATTTGTTTTAAAAGGGACGGGATAAAATAAATCACTGAATCTTGTATTATTATGGTTTATTTTAAAACGGATGAGGGAAAGGAGTTCTTCACAGTCTATATTTCCTAAGAGCAAATTATGTAACAATTTCGATAGTAATAAAGTGCGTCTAGTTTTTAATGGAGAAAGATTAATGAATGATAATATTGAGTCATAGGAACCGTGAGGTGGCCTATAAACATTAAAGTTAAAGGAGATGAAACGGAGGAAGTTATTTTGAACTGATTCGATTACATCAATCTGTTTAGAGGTATTATTAGTCCAAATTAATGGACAGTATTCTAGGTTAGAGCGAACTAGGGCACAGAATAAAACTTTTAGAGATAGAGGATCTCTGAATGATCCACAAGTTCGCTTGATAAATCCTAAGTTGCGCATTGCCTTATTAATTATCATTTCAGTATGGGCTGAAAAATTTAGTTTTGAGTCGAAGATGACGCCTAGGTCTTTAAAGGTGGTTAATAATTCAATATTAGAATTAGAAATAGAGTAGTTATAATCGATGATATTTTTGCTTAGGCTAAATCGCATAAATTTGCATTTCTCGGTATTTAATAACAGACGGTTGGCTGAGCACCAGTATTGAATGTTATTAATATCGGTTTGTAAGTCATCAGCATCGTCTTGATTATTAATTATTTTTACCAGTTTAAGATCGTCAGCGAAGAGAAAAATGCGGGATTTTTTTATGACATCCGGAATGTCGTTTATGAAAATATTAAAAAGTAGGGTAGACAGGTGATCACCTTGCGGGACCCCGGATGGTACATTAAATTTATCGGATTCAAAATTCAGATGTTTAACAACGATAATGCGGTTGGAAAGAAAAGAGCGAAACCAGGAAAGTAGAGGGTCAGAGAACCCAAACAGTTTTAATTTCATAAACAGTAGTTCATGGTTAACGCTATCAAACGCTTTTGACATATCAGTGTAAATTATATCGGTTTGAGAACGAGCAACGAAAGAGTCAAGTATTATTTGTTTAGTAATAGCAAGGTTACAATTAGCTGATCGCTTAGATATAAAACCATATTGATGTTGAGATAAAAATGCAGAACAATGTTTATTTATTTTATTAAAAATAAGTTTTGAAAAGAGTTTAGGAATAACTGATATTTTTGATATTGGCCGGTAGTTAGAGACAATTGTGGGATCGCCTTTTTTAAAAACCGGGTAAATAAAAGAGTTTTTCCATAAGTCGGGGAATATACCATTTTGGAGCGATAAGTTAAAAATATGTGTTAAAGTTGGTGTAAGTATAAATCTGCAATTGTAGAGGAAAAAGGCTGGAATGCTATCAGGACCAACGTTGTAATTGATAGAGAGAGTGGTAAGCTCATTTAAAACATCGACCTCAGTGAACAATATAGACGAAAAGGAAAATAAATTATAACTACTTAAGGAATTATTTAAACAAGGAGCAGAAATGGATAGATTGTCTGGCTTAGGGTAGTTTTTAAAGAAAAATTTAGCAAATAAGTTAACTATATCTTGCCCATTATCAGCTGACGTTGTATCGAGCGTAAGGAGACTTGGTATTGACTTATTATTTCTACGACTATTAACATATTTCCAGAAAGACTTAGGGTTTGATTTGACAGATAATTGGACTTTATTAATAAATTTTTTATAATCTAGTTTAGCAGTTCTCTTACATTTAGCCCTCAAATGGGAAAAGCTGTTATAATCAGATGGGTCATTAAATTTTTTATACAATGAATGAGCAATTTTTTTTTGTGATAATAATATTTTTAACTCAGTAGAATACCAAGGGGGAAAGCTGTTTGACGAAACACGCTTTTTCGGTACAAAGGTATTAATTGCTTCGTTTAAACAATTATATAAATGGTTAATTATTTCATTAAGATTAAAATTAATAGAAGCATTGCAAGGTAAATTATCGGCTAAAAATTTTACAATATCAATATAATTACAATGTTTAAAATCATAAAAATAATCTGTTGGCTTAAGTATGATAAATTGATTGTAATCTATAGTAACATTAAGAGCAGGGTGATGCATATCTAATGGTAATAATGGGTCGGGATCAGTAGAGACATTTAGGTGAACATTTGATAAGACTAGATCTAAAATTACATTATTTTTGTTAAGAATATAGTTAAAC